CTATAAAGTAATTTATCATTGTACTCAGTAAAATTTGGACACTTATATAACCTTATTTTGTTCATGAAGCTTTTTTTAGATAATAGTATTTTTAGTCATTAGGAGAGGTGTGCCATCATCTGTATGGGGTGTGACATCATCTGCATTTAATGTTCTATGTGAGTGATATCACATGTCATATAGATGACGTCCCTAATGACAAAAATACCCTTATTAAAAAAATAGTCCATGTACAAAACAATAGTATAGAAGTGTCTAAAATTCATTGAGTACAATGATAAATTACTCTATAATGCGAGCACTCCACATTTAAATATTATAACTAAAATATGTAGTTATATTTATTTAAATATAAATGAAATATTATTAAAATATGATATATTAAATATTATTTAAATAATAACACTATTCGGGTTGGGTTCAATTTTTTGACCCATACCTGGACGCAGGTCGGGTTTGGTCTTCGGGTCCCAGTCCATTGCCACCGCTTTTTCTAATCAGTATTTTAAATTGGAGTTGGCTTCTAATTCAGCCTCGGCTTATTAGGTGATTTCTGACATGAATTAAGCCATATCTAACAAAATTGTAAAGAAATAAAATTGTTAAGAAATTACAAAAATATTATTTTGTAAATGAAATCTTAAGTAGTAATTTACAAAATAAAAATTTCTTATTTTATTATCAAAATTTATAAGCAATAAATTATATTTTAAGTTTTATGCTTGGGTCCCATTGCCATGCATATTTGTATTTTAATTTTATTTTTTATATATTAGATTAAGCTTAAATTTTAAGGTATCCATACTCCTCATTAGATATGTTAGAACTTACAAGGATAGAACTTACATTACTTAAAATTAATTTGAAAATTTTGAAAAATATTTTTAAATAACTAAAATGACCAAAGTATGCGTAGAACTTACAATGATAAAGTTATGTTAGTTTATTAAGTTGATTTTTTATACTTTCAGTACGAACGTTCAAAATTTAAACTTAATCTGTATATAAATAATACAAAATTAAAACATAATATATGCTTTCAAAAAGTAAGCTTGAACATAAATTATAAAATATAATAAGCTATATTTAAATTTTAATAATAAAATATTTCATAAATTTTCTTACTTGCTAATAGTACTAAAACCTAAGAGAATCGGGCAACTTCATCTTCCTCTAATTAGAATTAAGATTTCAATGTTAGTTTGAGTAATTTTTAGTTGGCTCGGCAATTTTTAAGACGTAATGGTCGTCTTTAATCCTAAAAAAACTTCATGTTTGTCCAACAAGAAATATGACTCCAATGTTAGTTTGAGTAATTCTTGATCAGCTCGACGATTTTTAAATTAATACCTTAGACTTAATGGCTGTCTTGAATCCTAAAAATTAATTAAAAAATCCAACATAGAGATATTTTTGGGATCTAACATAAATATATTTTTGGGCCCTCTTGCTCTCCTGTAACATAGATATGGGCCCTCTCTCTCTCTAGACATATGGGCTCTCTCTCTCTCTCATTCATGGCCCTAAGCAATCTACTAAAGAGCAGGATGAAGAGATCATGGGGTTCTCACATGCTGTCTCCATCTCTTTGTATTTTCGAAAGCATTGAAAAAATTAAACATTTATTAATATTTTCATATCTTATTCTCTCATTGATTCACCATGATGAAATAACTATATATGTAAGCAGAATCCAAGGGCTCAGTTTAGCTAGAAGGTTGCCCTTTACATAGCTTTAATAAATGGATGAAGTTTCTATAAGGCCTCGGCTTTATGAAAACAGAATAAAGCCTCCCCTCGAATCTTCATCTAGAAAGCACTTTCGGCAATGGAAATATCTCTATGATGGGTCTAAAATCAATTTAAATTTTATAATAAAAATAAAACTTTAAGTAATCATAAATATTTTTGTATTGAAATGGCATCTTTCAACACTATTTGGATATGAATTTTATTTTGTTTGTTTAGAGCCTCACACCAAACAAACAATTGCTTAAAATTTAGCATTTTTAGATTCTTATATAATTATGCTAAGGGGTGGTCAATTTTATGCTCAAACATCTTAATCGAGAATTTATTCAACAAAGTTGTAAATATTTTGATATGAAAAAGTCACAATCAATTTGAGTCGCCAAATATAAAATTTAGTTATAGGTAACACACTATTAACTATTCTTGGTTTTTCAAAAATTTCATATCGTTTTTATCTTTTATTTTTCTTAATTTATTTATTACAATATTTTATTTTTAACTAATTACAAAAAACACTTATCAAGCAACCGAACAATCAAGAAGAAAAATAAAAGGATGTGGTTTGTTTAAGGTCTCGACCTTAAACAATCTAACTAAGGCGCACCACCAAAACCTCACCAAAAGATGTAATTTTAGTGTCGAAAATTTCAATGAAGACCTGGAAAAAACTAGTTCAAATCTAATTATAAAATTTAAAAATAAAAAAATAATACCGATCGGCCGGATCTAAAAACACATTGAAATATTAAGAATTGACGGCCTAGATAATGTATTACAAGCTGTACCATTTTTTATACTATAAAATCTATTTTTTCCCAACATCTGTACATCTCGAGGTGAGATGATCAATTAAAGGGTTTTTCACCATCAAAATAACACTTTAAATATATTTTTAAAGTGTGCTTTTTTTCTACATTTTAAAGTTACAACCCTATATAATTTTTTTTACAATGGGTAAAACTATGACTAGATTAATGTTTGGGGCAAGCTTTTTGTGCTTGCCCTACAATATAAAACTTATATGTTTCCCTTTATCCAACCGTTCATTTTGAATGGAGGGTTAAGATTGTCCTAATCACAATGTCATGTCTTTACACCATTTTATTTTTAATGATTTTTATATAAAACACTTTAACACCAAAATATGGGTGTCCAATCATCTATTAAACTCGCACTTTTTTTTAAAAAAAAAATCTTTAATAAAATAAAAATACCAAAATATCTTTAAAAGTTTAAAAAAGTATTTTGGTCATTATATTTTATCAAAATATTATTTTAATATTTTTATAAGTACACCCCAATGAAAAGATAACACGTGCCAAATTTTATATTCATACAATTTATATTAAAAACTTAAAAATACAATATTAAGAGACGTTAAATCTAAGATCAAACGATAAATGACTCACTCACGGCTCGATGGTAGGGAAAGCTTTGATCGATGTATAAAAACCTTTCCTAAGGCTTGAGCTAGAGAAATAACTTGAAGGCAATTTCGTCATCTTGTAAAAACAACTGGGTATTTTCGTATATTTTCACCAACACCCAACCGAAAAATATCGCCCGCCACAAACCAACCGCCATAAGGGTGTCCCCTCCCTCTATGTCGGTTTCTCTCTCTCATCATTTTTTAATCGATTATACTTTCTCTTTCTTCTGTTTTTTTTGTTTTCGTCTTGCCACAAAGCTTGAGTTTTAAAATAAAATAAAGCATCATCTCAAATCTTCATCTTTAAAAACAATCAAAATATTTACTTTAAAATCAATTTTTAAAATCAATAATAAAATTTGAAACTAAGAAATAACATAAAACTTGCGGAACTATAAGCATTTATTTTTAAGATAAAATAAACAATTTAGATAATTTGTCACAATATATATTATTTTTAAAACTAAAAATCTTTATTTTTTTTCACAACCAAAATATTCAAACCCAGATGATTGATTGGAATGGTTTTTTAGTGCTTGAATTGCAATTTTCGATGGGTTATGAGGTGATGTTTTTAACTATTTTTCCTCTTCTTTGTTTATCGCATTTCAAGTTTTGAAAATAGTACGTCTTGTAACGTATTTTTTGACTGTCAATTTTCAATATTTTTAAGTTTTTATAGATCTGGTTCGATCTTAATTATTTTTTAAAATTTAAATTTTATAATTAAAAATAAAAATATATTTTAAAACTATTATAAAGATTTATAATATTACTTAGACATTATTTGGAGTTGCGATTTATTTTGATTGTTTAGAGCGTCGATTTTATACAAACCGTATTTTTGATAATTTTTATGGATTCTACTCTCTCTGAGTTTTTAACTATTTTGACTTTTTTACTCCTTTTCTGTCTATGTTATTTCCTTTTATTTTTGCTATTTCTCCTCTCTCTCTCTAAGTTTTTCTTTCTCTCTGTAATTTTTCCATTATTGCGCTTTTTCTCTCTCTATGTTATATCCTTTTATTTTTGCTATTTCTCCTCTGTCTCTCTCTATGTTTTCTTCATCATCTCTCTCCTACCTCCTAACCATTCTCTCTGTTTAATATCTTTGCTCTCTCTCTCTCTATAATATTATTTCATTATTATCTGTCTCCATTTCTCTCTCTCTCTCTATAGTATTATTTCATTATTATCTGTCTCCATTTCTCTCTCTCTCTCTATAATATTATTTCATTATTACCTGTCTCCATTTCTCTCTCTCTCTCTTCTCATTATCCACTGGATCCCAAATCACTTTCTCTCTCTACTGTTTATCTACGCGCTCTGCTCCCGCGTCCCTTTCAAATCTCTACTATAAAAGGAACCCTCCTTCGTATTTCTAAAACCTACTTCACCTTGCTCCGCGCCCCAGTTTGGTTTCAATGGCTTTAACCCTGATTATCTCTGCAACTCGCTTCGAACCCTAATTTTATTTGCGTCTCTTTACAGACTCTCGTTTGCTCTTCAAGTCTCCTCAATCCCTGATTTTCTCTGCAATTTCAGTCCTCGAAACCATTCCAGTCCTTGAAACCCTGGTTTTCTGTGAGAAAATATCTTCAAAACCTACATTTTCTGCTTCTTCGTTCAAAACCCTAATTTTCTCTGAAAATCTCTCTTCCTCTCAAGCAATGGCTTCCAATCCTGGACCTTCTTCAAGTGCCTCCTCTTCCCATTTGCTCGAGCAACCCGTGCTTTCTTCTGAGCCATTGGATTCTGGAGGGGACTTTCAGGAAGGGGTTCCGGCCATTCCTCAGCCTTTGGAATCACTGCAAGGAGTCCCAATACCACCGTTCCTCACAAAAACCTACGATTTGGTTGATGATCCATTGCTGGATCCAGTGGTGTCATGGAGTCGTAGTGGTGAGAGCTTCGTGGTCTGGGACCCCATGGAATTTGCAAGGACTGTTTTGCCAAGGCATTTCAAGCACAACAACTTCTCTAGCTTCGTTCGCCAGCTTAATACATATGTGGGTTTCCTGTAATTTTGTATGTACTTTTCATTTGCAATTGACAAAAAATTTGTATCTAAATTTTCTCTTCTTCTTTTTTTTCCTATTTGTTATTTGTTTTTTTTTTTTTCGAATTGTAATTTGGTTTAGCTTAGGTGGATTTTCATGTATTTGTAGTCACAAGCTGTATTTTTGCTGTGATAGAGAGAGGAAGAAAGCGATTGTGAAATTGTATTTGAGAGAGAGAGAGGGAGAGAGTGTGTAATTGGAATTTGTATCTGAAACTCTGTAAATTGGGAGGATATTTGTATGTAATTTTTGTTTATTACAATGAAGACACAATTGCCATGTCTCGTTCTGATGGTTTCTCTTTATTGAAGCTGCAGAGCAGATGCTTGACCAGATGTTGGTCTTTTGATTTTGTTCTCTTAGGTGAAACAAATTGGGGTTTATGGTTATAGAAATTTCTGTGTTTTTCTTATGTGGAAACCCCATCTTCTCTCTGACTGGTTATGATTATTTTTTTTTGAAACTGCTTAACTCGTTAAATAAAAATGAAAATATACAAAACCATATGTTTAGAAGAAAGTCAAAACAGGGGAACAGAAGAAAGAAATGAAGGTAACATGTTTAGATGAAAGTCAATAAAGGGGAGGGAATAATATTCACATAGAAAAGTAGAAGATAGAGACCTAAAGCCGAAAGAAGTGGAGAGAGTCCTGAGAACGACAGGGTCCAATGGTGATCTTCGAGGGATCAAATGGTAATAATTCTTTTTTGTTCTCAGATAAAACCTCATTTCTCCCAAAAATGACTGGTTGTGATTCTTTTTTTCTTATCAGATAAACCCCATTTCTCCCAAAAATGGCTGCTGATGATGAGTTGAGTTAAACACAGGTTATACAGGCCAACCCCACAAAAAAGAAAAATCCTTTGTATTCAAAATTTTTAGGTTTCTCCCCCCCCCTTCATCTTGCTTTTCTTGATGATATATATCACTGAAGAATAGAAACAATGATAACGGATGCTGGCTGAACACCCATGTGGGGTTTGAGAACATATGGGAACTTTGAGAGGTATTTTCTTTGTGATCATAGTTCTTTTGTTTTCTTTGTTACTTGGGTCTGTTAGTTGATGATAAACATAGAGAGGTGGGTGCAATTCATGAAAATGGACAATGAATTAAGTGTAAAACTCAGGGGGTTAATTCTGAACCTTTTTGGCACTTTTAAAGGGTATATTGCATTCTGTTTTGTCTGCTTTTGTATTCTGATGCTTATGGTACCTCTATTCTTTGTTACTTGGTGTTGATCAACTATGTTGCATAGTTTGAGATGTATTATAACATGCATTTGAGTTCATGGAGTCGTCCTTTATTGTTCATGGAGTCGCCCTTTATTGTTCCTTATTGGAGTATTAGATTTGTTCTAAAACCCATTTTGCTATTTTTTTCTAGACTAGCCCATAGAACCCAACTTTTCCTATCCCATGGATCAATTATTGTTACAGATTGAAAATAAATATCTTTTCTGAGTCACCACTGGCACAAGTATTGTCTTTTTGCTTCTTTGTGCGGGGTTGGGGGTGGTGGCTAGATCAATTGTAAAAACATGATGTGATACCCCAATCAATAACTGAACCCAAGATGCGTGTGCTGCTTTTCTCAGCCAATAGCCATTTTCTTCTGGTGTGCTGCTTCTTTGAGCTAATTTTCTGTAAATTTCTCGTACTTTTTCGTTGTGTTTGTGGAGATTTTATTGACAAACTTATGTCTAAGTTTTGCCAACTTTATTTTTTGCAATTGTTGCGTATTTCTCCCAAATTTCTTTTCCTGATTGAAACATGGTGAATCCTCTCAGGGTTTTCGAAAGATTGACGCAGATCGTTGGGAGTTTGCGAATGAGGGTTTTCTTCGAGGGCAGAGGCACCTATTGAAGAACATTCACAGGAGAAGGTCTCAACAAATGCAACAGATTGGTCACCCTTTGGGGTCTTGTGTTGAAGTTGGGAAATTTGGCTTGGAAAATGAGATTGAAAGGTTAAGAAGGGACAAGAATGTTTTGATGCAAGAGGTTGTGAAACTTCAGCAGCAACACCAAATGACAAATCACCGTCTGGAGACCATGAATCAGAGGATTCAAGTTGCAGAGCAAAGGCAGAAGCAAATGGTTTCCTTTCTTGCGAAGTCTTTGCAAAATCCAGCTTTCTTGGCTCAAATTTTTCAGCTAAGAGAAAACCAGCAAGTTGACTCTAGGGGGAGAAAGAGGCGATTCATCAAGCATCAGCAAGCTGGACCTAGTTCCTCTGCCTCATCTGAGGAAACCCAACTTGTGAAATACAAGGCTGAGTCAGGTGACTCTCCCTCACCTTTGGCAAGTCAAGGCCTACTTGCTGAATTGGCTAATGATATATTAGGAGATTTGGATGGTCAAGAAGAATTTGATTTAGGAGAAGCAAAAACTTGGGATATTGCTCATGTAGGAGGGAAAGACGATGAATCTATTGCACTGGGGAGAAAACCAGAACCAGAACCAGTCCCAGTCTTCAATCCTGGTCTTCCATTTCATGATCCTAGTGACATGTTGCTTATGGGGAAGAATGTTATGACCTCTCCAACTGATGAAAGCTCAACTGGTGCCAAATACTTTGTATCCTTTCCTGATCATTTGTCACCTAAGATATTTTCAGAACTGATGTCTCCTGCTGATTTCCTTATGAAACAAGAAGACTTACCAGATGTGGGTTTTAGCGGAAGTGATCCTACTTCTACTGTTCCTGTTTGGGAAGATCTCTTCTACTATGAGGGTCAAGAACTGGATGATGCAGCTGGTGTTTCCAATTTTTGGAACGTGGGTTCACAGCAAAGAGTTGAAGGTTCGGGAACCAACCAATTGAATGAGTCTTCTTTAGATGATCTTTCAAAACAAATGAAACAGCTTACGAAAGATCACAATGAAGACACAAATACCTAGGCCTTTAGTGATAGCATCTTTGGCACACTTTGCTGATCTCCTCTCTCTAATTAGTTGAGTTCATTGAACTGGAACATTATTTACTTTAACTTTGAAATGAATTATTTTTTCTTGAGTTTTATGGTAGTGTCTTGTGTGATTTTTAGGGTTGGGGTTGGCTGGCCTCTTATTATGGCTCTTGTTTTCTCTGTTGAACCAGGTGGATATATCTATAGCTTGGATGGCTGCCCTTTAGGGTAGGCCTACGTTTCATGGTTCATTCACTGATGAAAGTTTTGAGTGGTGGAACTCTGCAGGTTAGTTGACAAACCATTTCTCTTTCGTTTGGAGTGTGGGAAAGAGCACGCAGGTTTCTCACCCATTCTACTGTTTTAAGAATCAATATTCTCTTCTTTTCTGGTAAGACTATTGAGGGCTTGTTCTGCATTTACTAATGGCATATGGATACTTAAGCCATGCACACTCTGCCTTCTCCTTCTTCTTCATGTGCATCCATTGTGGAAAGTGTTTGATAGTAGTAATTTGAATGATTGGGTGCTGTGTGTGATGAATATTCACTGTTTGAAAGTAACACACTTTCATGGATGTGCTAGTTGAATTTCTGGTTTGCTAAGTTCCTTTATGAGCAGGAGATATTTTTTAATTATAGATTTCTTTGTGAGTATATTCCTCTATGTTATTTGGAATGCAACTTGCAATCTTTTTATGGGCTGTACTGGTCTTTCTTACATGGCAATCAAATATTTTTTCCCCTGAAACTTCAAAAGAACTTATTGATTTGTATTAAGATTCCGTCTGCCTATTGTCATATAAACTTCAATGGCGGTCTTTAAGGTTGAAAGAGAAATTCGTTTCAATTCTTCAATTTTTAGGCCACTATACACCTTGATGACTACCGCTATATCTCTTGATGACTTGGTATCTGATTATTTCCTTGTTATATTTGACTATCATAATCATTATAGGGGAGACTTTCTATGTGTCTAACCACATATTTTATATGTTGCCATGGACTCCCCACAGTCTGATTTAATTGGATGTGGGATAGTTTATTGTATAAAAGTTCGCTATATTGTGGGACTGGCTTTCAGCCAGTAATTTTAAATCCCTTGCCAAACTGTCTCACTCTTCCTCTTGAAACCCCTCCCTCTTTCAAACAAAATGCTGGAAAAGCCACTACAGCAAAGGTTTTTTCCAGGAAGTAATTGGAAATTACAGGGGCTAATCTTTTTGTCAGAATCTTATCAGGATCTTTTCTATTTCCTTGATGAATTGTCAAAAGTTTGAACTGCAAAAAATAGCTGAATTTTGGCTGGAATATCGACTGTATCCTTTCCTTGTGATTTTCAGCCAAAACCTTGTGATTTTTAGCCAGAACAATGAAAAATATAAAGCTGGTTTTATCCAGAACCTTGTGAGAAAATCTCCATTTTCTTAGAAGTCTCAAACCTCAAAAGGTTGGCAGCTGATTTTTGGTTAGAATCTCTAATACATCTCCATTCCTGTATCATTAGCAGAGGTTTCACCTACAAAAGTTAAAAAACTGACCCCTAAGAATCCAGAGAGGGATGAGGCCTCTGAATTTGGGAAGGTTGTTTTGTGCTTATGTTTAATGTTTTCTTGCGAGTGTTTGGCCACAAGAGTAGCCATAAAAGAGGAGGTCTGGGTATTTTTGTCACTGGGTTTTGAGATTTTTGAAAGAGTTTTGGGGTGGCGAGGGGGACTCGAAACTTAGAAATAAGTAACTGTCAAACCTGGTTCCAAATGCCCATGCGGGTTTGCCACATCATGTAAAGAGCTATCCCTGCTGTCTGATCAAAATTGATTGGTGGAAAATATGTGTGGCTGGGATCATGCATAATGTTTTCCCATCATTATAATCTATGTTTTGATATCATTATCATTACAACCGTTGTTATTGAAAAAACTTTTTCACAATTATTGTTTATAATTTTGTTATGATGCCCGGTTCATGCAACTCCAATCTTTCCTTCCACTTGTACATAATTTGAAGTACCTTTTTCTCTGTCCAAGAATGTTTGATCCTAAAAGTGTAATGTGCTTGTTACCCAAAAAAAGGACAAACAAAAGTGTATGCACTTGTTGAATGCAATAATCCTGCTTTAAACAGTGATAAATTCTTCCTGTGCTGTAATGCGTTGATTTTATAGTGCTCAAATTGAAGGTGAACAGATTTACTAAAAGAAACTATGTTAATTCCCACGAATCTATGAATGCATATATTAATGCTGCATAAGAAAGACGGCATTGCCTGCTATAGCTCTCTCCTGATGGCTTCCAAGGGCTTAATGCTCTTTAAATTCAGACCCTGTCCTGGGCCTATAACGTTTTTGGGTCCTCTCATTGATAGTGTGATGGTTTCCTGTATTTACTTTTTTATTGAATCCACTACCTGATAAAACTCCCCAACCAGGTCGTTCCTTTGTTTTATTCTCTCCTTTCACTAAATCACAGCCTAGGCCAAATCTTTTGGAGTATACATCTTCTCTCCTTGAAATGGCCCTGTAACATATGGAGTTATGTTTATTCAATGCCCTATAACCTGCCAACATGTGACAACAAAGGGTTGCAGGACTCTTTCCCGCTGGTTTTCTAATACCCATTCCTTAATATCTATTATAATCACTGTTACCATTTGGTCTAACAGATTACTCGTGCGTTTATTTTGTGATACGTCTTATCGTGGTTGTTGTATGATTCTAAGGGCAGCCTCTTCATTGCCCCTTTCTTTATATGCTCAAAGGCATCCCTCCTTTAGATGCAATTGTATTGTGGAACGAATATCAACTGTGGGATCACCTTGTGTAAGATGCAGTGGCGTTTACTGTAACATTCATTATCTAAGTGCGGTGTTCTTTTTGGTCTTGTAACAAAAGGAAAAAGTAGAATCGAAAGTAACAAATTCTACTTTTAACGTTTCTTTATTTTTTTTATTTTATTTTTTATGCTTCAGTCATTCAACCCAAGAGGTGTATGATAGCAATCTTTTATTTTCTATTGAAAAGATTTGTCTTGACGTTGTTTTATCATGTGATTTTTGTTCACCATACTTTTAATTTCATTGATACTTGATGTTTTTTACTTTGACAAACTGGCAAATCATTTTGATGTTATGTGACTCACAAAATCAAGGTATAGGTATTTGTTGGTTTAAGTATTTAGGGTACCAAACAGAAAACAGAACAATCCAGTTATGGTCTGTGGTATCTACCTGGTCGGTTCAACCATCATTCTATTAACAACGATTGTTTAGTTAAAATTTATCATTCCTAGGAAACAACATAAGAAATAAAAAATGATGTTTAGGGACAAGTCTATGATCGAACAGTTGTAAATTTTTGCCCCTTGTCTGGGTTTTCTTCTTTTTAACCAAGCCCAATTGATATGGTCTTCTGATTGTTGGCTGAGGTAGATGTTAACCTCCGCCCCCTTCTTGGAAATGAAAATGCTCTTGACCTTTTTCCATCCGCTGTAGCTCTTGTTTGGACCACAAACAAAGAGGTCATGCATTGCAGTAATAACCAAAGGAGGATTGCAATGTGATGTGATATCCATCAGTTTCTTAGAAGCTAAGAAGATCCAGTGGACCAAAAAAAAGACCTTACCATGATTGATGGTAGTTTTGCACACTAAGAACATATTGCCCCAAAGCTGATAAAGAAGATGTGGGTCTTGTCCATGTCGTCTTATTCTTCGTTTGTTTCTCCCAACCCCAATCCCCTCCTCGCCCCCCCCCACCCCCCCTTCTCCACGGTTGTTTCTTTTGCTCCAGCCCCTTGGTCATTCAAGTGCACCTGGAATGAGTGGACTTATCTATGTGCCAAGAACTGTATAAATCTAGAAGCATCGAGAAAATCAGTTTGTAAACCGTCCATTAAGAAACAGTGATCACATCAAGGGATGTAGACTCCCTTGCCACACCTGCATAGGTGAATCAAGGCGACCCGATTGTTACCCCTGAACTGTGCTGTTAGGTGAATGGCATGATACACAAAATGATATTTGTACAGCAGAGTGAATTTGTCAAATAGGAGAATTACATTACTTCTTTTGAATAGTAGTACATTACTTTGAAGCAGTTTCATGCATACTCCTAGTAAAGAAATGGTTGTTTTTCTTTGTTCTCTCTTGTTTTTTGTTAACAATCATCTACTTACATTTGCATTCTGCAATAGGATTTCTAAATACAAACTTTAAGAGCTATGGTGGGTTTGGAGGTTTGCCTTGTGTCACATTTAAAATTACCCCTGTTGAAATATGTTAATTTAAAAAATAACACACTTCAATTGAAAACCATACCAATTTTATTTTCAAACTTCTCTTATATTGTACAATTAGTCTTGTTCATAAGTACACATGTAATTTTAGGTTTCATGTCATCCTTAAATTGGAGAAAATAGTGAAATTTGAATAAAAACTTATTTCTCAATGCTAACTAAAAAAAGTTCAAACTTTTATATTCATGTTTAAGTTTAAAATATTTTAGAAACTGTAATTTTTGTTTCTAAGATCTGAAAAACTCTAAAAATCTTATTCTGAAATTACTCCTATATCCAAATGACCAATACTTATAGGTTTCACTTAATCGTAGATGAAATTATTTTATTTGAACTGAATTTCTTATTTATATATTAACTAAGGGTTTTGTTAGGCTACACCACTTGGTCATGTATACCTTTAAAGTCCTCATCATTTTTTTGACACTTAGATACCCTTATCCTATAGTGTAATAACTTTTTGTCTAGGGGTATTCTAAGTACTTAGCAAAGGGTAAATTAGAATTTCTTAATAGAAACAAAAGCATTTATTAACAATATTGGAGAATGACGCCATCGGCATGGTGTGTGACATCACCCACAACATACATTAATTGTTTTTTTAACTACTAATAGAATTCCACTATTTTCTTATAGAAATTTTCATTCTACCCCTACTTATAAAATTTTGCATTACAATTCAAGGGTATTTAAATGTTCAAAAATGTTGAGGACTTTAAAGGTATAAACCACAAATGATGTAACCTAACAAAACCCATTAACTTATAATAACAAAAAATAAACTTGTATATTCCTTGTATATTAATATTAACTTGTTAAATAATAATTTATATTTTCAAGAAAAAAGAAAATCCTCATTAGATATGTGTGTAGGCGAGTGCTCACATGTGTGTGTGCGTGTGTGTCACCCAAAGCCATGAGAGAAAATCGGGCATATGTCCCCCTAAAAGCTGCTAGGGCTGTAATTACTGTTTGACATGTTTTACTCCATCTCCTGTGTGTGTGTGTTTGTGCATGTGTGCGTGTGCCACCCTAAGCCATGAAAGAAAATTGGGCATAGGTCCCCCTAAAATTGCTAGGCCTGTAAATACTGTTTGACATGTTTTACTCCATCTCCTGTATGTGTGTGTCCCTCAAAGCTATGAGATAAAATTGTGCATAGGTCCCCCTAAAAACTGCTAGGGCTGTAATTACTGTTTGACATGTTTTACTCCATTTCAGAGCCTTGGAGCTGGTGGTCCTTTACTCCTTACCAACCTGAGCACTGATAAATTTCAAAACATGATTGGCCAAAGTTGGGGATGAATGAAGCTTTAACAATTGATGAAAGCTTGAAAGACCTAGAAGTGAAACCTGAGGCCACCTATTTTGAGATTTTTGCAGTTTTACTGTACACTTAATTCTTTTGTATTATGGCATTTTCTTGCATTGTGGGCATTTACGTTTGTATTTTATGTATGTTACAATGAATTATGTCGTTGTCTACACATGTGCTCTTGTACAAAGATATGTTTAGTAAAGATATATATTACATTTTTGTTATTTCAAGAAATAGAAAAGAATAAACACACAGCATCTTGTAGGGCTGCGGTTTTATAAAGCCACTTCTCAAAACTCACTAAAGAAATGCAGTTATGTGCCGGAAAACCTATATGTCGATCATCTCAACCTTGACAATAAATAGATTTCATGCCCTAAAAATGCTCTATTTTCGTAAGTGTTTTAAGGACTGCCCATTATAGTGTGCACAATTCCCCAATTGTGCACCATTTTTAGAGCTTTAAATTCTGTAGTCAAGGGTATAAATAGATTTGCTGGTCATCAAGCCATCACTAGGGTTTTAAGTGCCAAAACTGTATTTTTTTCACCAGTGTTTTGAGGTGTTGCTTTACTAGATGTCGTAAAAGCCATGCCCTTTAAAAAATCTGCCCAAAAAGAAATAGCAATGATAAAAAAAGAGAAATGTGGAAATATCATGCAAAGAAAGATACCATATGGCCCTTGACAGAGCAGAATAATGAAATATGATTCATGTAGCTAATTGCAAATAGTTGAGATGAAGCTCTAGTGATGATGATCTTCTAAAATGGCTTGGATTTTTTCTTATTGGTTTGAACATTTCAATGATATTATACTTGAAACAAGATAAATTTGTGGTTCATCAATTTCTAACTTGAAAGAGATTCAGGATTATTGTCATGTTATGACATCAACAGTTGCAAATTATTAATTGATGTTCAAGATTTCATGGTAAAAGCAAAGAAACGAGCACTGGTATTCTATGATCCAATTCGCCAATATAATACCATTACCAACTGGACTTTACTACGATCCTAGAAAAAGAGAAATATATGTAAAATATTTCTGTATGTGTCATCATTGCATAAATTTCCGTAAGTTTTAAATTCTATGCCAAATCTATTTTCTCCATTTTTGAATTTTTCCTAAAAATACCCAAACTTCGGACTTTGAGAGTTTGAATTATGAAGTATACAAAAGTGACTGTCATTCAAAACAAAAACTTCATGTATTACAATCTTTGGATTTTAAAAATCCAACGTTCTTTTTGTATTGTTAAATTGTCTCATGTATTGATTTTAACCTAAGGAAAAAATTTATATAAGGTGTCAACTTTATACTATATGAGTAAAAAGCACCTAAAAAATCCACTAAAAAAGGTTGTTCTTATGCTTGAAAACCCTCAAATTGATCATCTCGACCCAAAGATTAATAGAAATGAAAAAAGGGGATTTTTAGTCCTAAAAATAGTTCATCTTCTAACACATTATCTGAATCATCTATTTTCAAGATTTTTAAGTGTTTATAGATCTGCTTGATCGTCACTATTTCTAAAACTTTAAATTTTATAATTAGGGGCAACAATAAATTTTCATATTATTGCAAGGTTTTGCTGCACATAAATTGCATTTTTGGCATAGTTTTGAGGTGAATCTTACTTCACTAGTATAAGGTTGACACCTTATACAAACCTCGCCCTCAACAAAAACTTCGGAATTTGAAAATCCTAGGTTGTTCCTTCATCAAAAAGTACTGTACTTTCAATTGATATATCTCTCTCTAGGAAGCTTGTCTCACTCATCAATAAAACTCTCTCTCTCTCTCAATCCACGTGCTTTACTTTCAATTGATATTTTATCTCAAAAAATAAAATTCTAAAAATTAATAAATAATAAATAATATTTAGGTCTCAATTTTAACATTTTACATCTTGTCTATTACTTCTATAACTAATCCAACGCAGATACCCAGAACTTCCTAATCGTTCAGCATGTTATCAAACACAAGTACTTAAAAACTTAATTAACATTCCAGGAGATTATCAAATATAGAAACATAGAATTTCTTTAACATTCCAGCAGATTATCAAATATAAAAACCTATAACTTCTTACCGTAACTTTTTTCTACCCAGCAAAGAGGAACTTCCAATTTACAGTTCATGAACTTGCTTCCAGTTATCAAACAGGTCCTAGAAGAATATAAACCCCCCTTACACCCCACCCCCACAAAAAAAAAACCAAAAGGTAAATGATCTTGTTTCAGACCTAAGACTGAGTTTTTATATAAGAAAGCCTGAGTTTGTCCCATTGATTGCACCCAATTCTTAAGAAAACTTTCCTTAAATAATGCAGAAAACTAACACATTTTCACATCTAATGACTGAGGGTGGGTAACTTCTTGTAACAGAGTGATTATGATCTTGTAGTAGATGTAAATGATCTTGTTGTACATAAAACCGGGGAACTCAAAGTCCAAAATTTAAAATTTCTTTTTTGTATGTTTTGAGATTTCTCCAGCTTTATGATCATATATCCTAGATACCAAATTTTATATATGATAGCTAATGATAATTAAAAATGATTGTGACCTTATTGTACATATCTTGTAGTATACAATTATTTTTTCTTTTCTTTTTTTTTGACACGAGGGTCATGATTCAATCATGAGTGAGTTCTGATCATAGGCTTCCAAATATAGTGTTTCCCCCCTTTCCTTTGCAAGTGAGATTTGCATAAGGTGCCCACCATACAAGTAAGATGCACATCTAAATATGGGTGTGGTTTGTATAAAGTCGATGAGCTAAACAATCACAGTAAAACGCACCTTCAAATAGTGTCGAGAAATGTAGTTTCAATATTGTAAATCTTTAAGATAGCCTTAGAATATATTTTTTTCTCTAATTATAAAATTTAAAGCTTCAAAAATAATGTAGATCGAGTAGATCTATGAAAACTTAAAAATCTTGAAAATTGACGGTCCAAAAATGCATTATAAGATGCACTGTTTCCAAAATTTGAAATCCATTTTTTTTCTCATATTCATATGCATCTTGAGGTCGAAATGATCAATTTGAGGATATTTGGGCATCAAAACAACCTTTTCTAGTGAAAATTTTGAGTTACACGCTAATTTGATTGTTTAGAGCCTCACACTTACATAAACTTTTTCCTCTAAATATGACTAGAAGATATGGTTTTGGTGACCAAAGCCTTATGATGCCTTGAAAACCCATGTTTAAACATACTTATGAAAATTTAAATTTAAAAAATTATAAATATTGAGTATATCTATATACACTAAAAAATCTTTAAAATAGAATCGTATAAAATACAATGTTTGTAAGACTTAAAATTTTTTTCTTTAGATCCATACATCTAGAGGTTAAAATAAGCACTTGAAAGGCAACTTTCGGAACCCTATGTTGGTGTCCCTTGCTAGCATAGCTTTTTCATTAATGTATACACTGAAACTATTTATTTTTAGGATTGTATACAATGAGATCATTTACCTTTAATACAAGGTGGTCACAATTACTTACAACCATCTGATATGAAATTTGATAGCTTGTATGTGTCACAAAGTTTGATAAATTATATATTGAAGTTTGAGCTTAGTCAATGGAATACATGCAACCATCTAATTTCACATCCATTAGTCAAGATTAAATATGACCACTTTGTACCAAAGATAAATTGTCTCATTATATACTTTTCTTTTATTTTTATTTGGGAAAATTACAAATAACTCCCAAGAATAGACTTCCTATGCAATTTACCCCAACTTTTGTTTTCCACTTTTTACTCTAAAGTATACTTTCCTAGCAAATACCCTCAAGTAAAAACATGAACATTTTTTTTGACGAAAATACCCTTTTTGTAAATAAAAATTTAATTATGACCAGACATTCACGTGGGCTTACGCAGTACCAAAGGCGATATGGCTGCTGGACCACCATGCACCAATTGCCAGACCCCATCAAACTAAAAAAAGTGTCGGATCACTCTTTGACATTGTCGGACCGCACTTTGAACCTGTTGTCAGACTGCATGGACCTGTTGCCAGACCGCATGGGCCTATTCCCAGACTGTTCTTTGGCCATGCCAGACCGCATGGGCCTATTGTTGGACCATTCTTTGTCAGTGCTAAACCGCTTTGGTATATTGCCGGACCATTTGTTTATACTGTCGAACCGCCTTTTTGTGTTTTATGGGAAAAGTTAAGCAATCCGTATTAGAAGAGAGAGAGAAGGCATTTTGGTCCAAACAGTTATTAACTTTTTTGTTTGGGGTATTTGCTAGAAAAGTTTGTTTTAGGGTAAATGTTGCAATAAAAAAATGGGTTGGGGATAAGTTGTAAATAAAGTTGGCTCAAGAGGTTTTTTTTTGTAATTTTCTCTTTTTATTTCTTATACAAAGAGGTCACAATCATCACGTATAGCTAAATTTGAAATCGGGTGGTTGAGGATGTGTAATAGTTTGGGTACAAAGTTTGAAATAGAATTTGTCAAATGTTGTGACACACTTTAAACGATTGGGGAGTGATTTCATGTAACGGTTGCATAGTAATATAATGATAAATCATGTTAGGGCCATTTATTGGATCCAAATTTTAAAATATACACTCTTTTCATTCTAATGAACAATTGCAAAAAAAATAATAATTGAAAAAGCAATCTAGATCGTATTTTTTTAACCCAATTAATATATGCCGTCTATTTTGGTGAGATTCTTAGATCTAGGTCTTAGAATGACCTTATTTCTTTTCAAAGTTTTTAAATAACTTCATTATCATCATATTAACAATGTTAAAAAATAAAAGATTTTGAATTCATAAAGATTTAGATCTTGAAATTCATCATATTAACAATGTTAAAAAATAAAAGATTTTGAATTCATAAAGATTTAGATCTTGAAATTCATCAAATAGACTGTCTAAAATTTATTGTTGGAGGTGACTCATTTTGACAAGTATAAATTATTATTAATTTTTTAAAAATTAATTATTGAGATAAAAAAGAGAGTTTGTATCTAAAATTTTAAGTCCTATAAATACCACATACATGATTGTTTAGAATAGTGGTTGCATATTATATCCCTAACCTATTAGATTTGATATGCAATGAATAAAACTGATTGTGACCTCTTGCGCCAAAACTCCTTTTTTAAATCCAAATTATAAGTTTTTTCGGGCTTGCTGTTCATTCCCGGCACTGAAGGGCCTCCAAAAACCCTAATATTGAAGAGCTTGATTGTTTACTATAGGGCAAATTTTATGTATATTTTTTCTGAAATTTCGGCCTATCACGTGATATATCTGTATTTTGAGCAATTTCAAAAATTTGGATTTTGACCTAGCATCAAGACCGAAATGTGAACTGCAATCTGTATTTCTTTGATTGATTCATTTATGCTGTATTTTTAGAGCATTTTGCTCCAATCTATGTTGTTTTATTTTTATCTATGGATTCACTCTTTATTGTGCTTGCCTTGAACTATAGATGGATCATATGGCAAAGGGGACACAGAGCCATCACCAAGATAATTCTCAGACCTAATGCATCTACTCTCTGATGTTCCTTTTTCCAATTGGAATCACCTTTATAATGCCATTGCAGCTTTAGTTTGGTGTAAATATTTTGCTCTTTTGGTCCATGACTTTTGCTGTCTGCTACCAATTTTAATTCCTGAATAAGCATGGGAAGTAATTCCACTCAGGAAGAAGGAGAAGGAAAGGAAGAAGGAGAAGAAGGAGCATACCAATTTAATTTGCAGACGCATGAGAAGTTGTTCCATCAAGGAAGAAGGACAAGAAACTAATTTTAATTACAGAAGCAGCATTCAAAGTTGTTCTATCAAGGAAGAAGGAGAAGAGTTGAAACCGGGTGAAAGGAGAAGCAGCGAAGAAGGCATGTGATGGCCCCTTCAAAGTATTACTTCTTCTATGGCCGCCGAAAGCCCTCTCAGAGCCGCCCCATTGTTGAAGGGGGTCTCTTCACAAATCGCAAAACCAGAGGAACCGTTCTCCCTCCTCTCTACAAACCCAACAACAAACCCCCCACCAAAACCTTCAATCCTGACCTCTGGAATCCAGATTGCATTACACCAAAGATGCAAACAAAGACCCATTCATCTTCTGAGCCCTCCTCTCTCTCGTCCGCCAGTCGCAAACTCTCCCCAATCGCACGCTACGTATGTGATACTATCCGTCGCCACGGAACATGGGGACCCCAAGTCCTTTCTGACCTCAACAAGCTTCATAGGGTACCCCCTTCCACTGTAACAGAAATCCTCAAATCTTCTCTCCTCAACCCCTCCCTCTCCTCCCGGTTTTTCAACTGGGCTACTAACCAAAAGGGCTTTCGCCACAATTTCTCTTGCTACAATGCCCTTGCGTGCTGTCTTCATCGTGCCAACCGTCACAGAGCAGCTGATCAAGTCCCGGACCTTATGAGGGCTCATAACAAAGAGCCCACCTCAAAACAGTTTGAGCTCCTCATTAGGCTTCATGCTGAATCTGGAAGGGGCCTTCGGGTTCACTATGTCTATCAAAAGATGAGAGAATTTGGGTGCAAGCCCAGTGTTTTTGTCATCAACAGGGTCATGGATGCATTGATTAGGACTGAGCATATTGACTTGGCCATGGCTGTGTTTGAGGACATTGACAGAGATGGATTGGTCCCTGAGGGAATCAGTTTCATGATACTTGTCAAGGGGCTGTGTAGGGAAGGCAGGTTGGATGAGGCATTCACACTATTGGGGCAGATGAGAGAGAAAGCATGTAAGCCTGATGTATTTGCTTATACTGCGATGCTAAAGGCTCTTGTTTCGTCGGAAAATTTCAATGGATGTTGGAAAGTTTGGGAGGAGATGGAGAGAGATGGCGTTCATCCAGATGCTATGTGTTGCACGACATTGGTTGGTGGTCTTTGCAAGGCAGGGGAGATTGAGAAGGCATATGGGGTTTTTAAAGAGATGAAGGCCGATGTCTTTTTGATCGATAGGTCAGTGTACGGTTCGTTGATCTCTTCGTTTGTGGCCATGGGCAAGGTGGCTTTTGCATGTGGGTTGTTGAAGGAGATGAATGATAGTGGGTATCGAGCTGATCTTTCTATATACAATTCTCTGATAGAGGGGCTTTGTGATGCGAATGAGAATGGAGTGAACAAGGCTTACAAGCTCTTCCAGATAGCCATTAGAGAGGGCCTTGTGCCGAGCTTCTTGACCACGAATCCATTGCTTCTTGCTTATGCAGATGCAAATAGATTGGATGATATGTTCATGTTGATTGAACAGATGTCGCGGCTGGGGCCACAGCCTGTCGAGGACAACCTCTTCAAGTTTTTTTCCTTCATGGTTGGCAAAGGGGAGAAGCAGAGAGTATTAAAATCATTGGAAGTCTTCAAGGCCCTCAAGGAGAGAGGGTATTGCAGTGTCTCAATCTACAATATCCTAATCAGCGGGCTTCACAAAGTCAGGGAGGTAAAGAGTGCGCTTTCTCTCTTTGAAGAAATGGAGAAGGGCTCAGGTGAGGCTTTTAAACCTGATGCTTTTACTTATAGTAATGTGATCCCATGCTTTATTGATGAGGGTGAACTCAAAGAGGCATGCTCATTGTATAACAAGTTGAAGGAGATGTCTTGGACTCCTAGTGTGCCCGCATATTGTTCCCTTGTTAAAGGGCTCTGCAGAGATGGGGAGATCGATGCGGCTATTCTACTTGTTCGGGATTGTTTGGGCCATGTCACAAGCGGGCCTTTGGTGTTCAAGTACACTCTCAACATTCTCCATGCTTGTAAGTCAGGTAAAGCTGATAAAGTCATTGAGGTTTTGAATGAGATGATGCAACAGGGCTGCCCTCCTGAGGATGTGATATATTGTGCCATTATTGGTGGCATGTGTCGGCATGGGAATGTAGAGGAAGCACGAAAGGTCTTTGCAGCCATGCGGCAGCGTAATCTGCTATCAGAGGCTAATTTAGCCTTGTATGATAAATTGCTCATTGAACATTTGACAAAAACCACCTCGAATTTGGTGCATTGTGGGTTGAAGTTTTTTGGTCTGGAATCCAAGATAAAGTGGAGCCAAAGTTGATTTTTGCACCTTGGCGTATATCCCATCCATTTTGGAAATGTAACCTTGTCATGTAAATTATGCATAAAAAAATGAGTTGTTCCTTTTTAATTTGGCTGAGTAACGTAATTGTAAGTTTGGAATCCTGAAAATTCTTAATCATTGTTTGATGATGACATGTACCGTCTAAATTTGTTTGAAGTGTTTAATTTCTCTCTCCTGTTTTTTTTGGGTCTTTTTTCCATTGTCAATGGTTGATAAAGGACTGTTTTATTCTTTTTCTGTATTAGGTGCTTTTCCCTATATATGTCCTTCTTCTGTTGTATTTGGCAATGCTTCCTTTTGTGCAAGCCATTTAACTCTCCAAACTCAACCATGTTCATACACATTTATTCGCATGCATCTTCTTTGGCATTCTTCTTCTTTCTTCTTCTGATTCAATGTATCACATATATGGCTTATTTGAACACAAAGTTAGCTAAAGATTACCTCTTTTTCTTTTGGATAGAGAACATTCAGGGGTAGAAGAAAACTGATTAAATCGAGTTGTTCCGATAGGAAGAGACAAAGGTAGATGTGCTCAGTGGGTTAAAGGGGGAGGGAGAGGGGTATTGAGGAGGGGGGCCTTGCCCAACAGAAAGGCCAAGTGTACTGTTGCCCACACGTGCAAGGGGATTTGCCAAATCATCTGCTTGCCTTGCATGTGTTTCATGTAATGATCAATCCCATCAAAGGTTGAGGACCTCCTACATCACTTTGGCTAGTTTCCACCAGTAGGTCCATCTTCACAGGCCCATTGACTGACATTCAAGGGCTCATCTTGAGCAATGGTTGGACCCATGAATCCTTGAAGGAATATTTTGAGGCCCTACAGAGTTCTTTTGCTTCAGGTGTATTGGCATCCATGATCCCATAGGATTGGCAAAGACTAGTTGGTGTTGCTCAAACAGTCCCTACATGCAACCGTAACACCTGAAGGGCAGTTGCCTTGAGGTGGAGCAGTCCACACAACATGAATGTGGCCCAGCACCCTACTGCGTGCAGGATCATACCATTCCTGATCTAGGTCAAGGCAGAGTATCAAAAGAACTCCATGCTAACCAAAACCAAGTAATGATGAAATGTCGAACCTGAGTTCTTACTGTATTGGCCCTGGAGTATTTTCCTTCAAAAATCATTTTATTTCTCTCAAGACAGGTGACCGAAAAAATACAGTGGACTGAGTAACCAAATGATCCTCCCTTTTGGATGAAGGGACCCCCTAACCAGCTGGAAAGGATTTCATCCACCAAGTATTGATAAATTGAAATGGCCCAAAAAAAAGTCTCAAAATAAGAGACCGTGCAGCCCTGGTGAAGCTGGAACAAATAAAGAGGTGGTCCATCGTCCTCAGCATCACGACACACAAGGAAATGAAATGGAATAAAAAATCCCTACGCTGTGGGTGATCTCAATTGTGGGCTTTGTCCAGAGTAACCAACCAACCAACACATCGAACCTGAGGAGCAGCAAAGTCTCAGATCTATCTGGCTGGTGAAGGTGTATTGGACACCTGTGCATGGGAGGAGGCCCCTGAGAGGGGTATTTAGGAAGAGACAAAAGTTAATGAGCTATCTCTTGGCTCTGCTTGTAGATATCTTTCTTGTTCAGTTATCGTATATTTTTCTTGCCTGAGAACATCTTGAAGTTTGTTAAACTTCAATCTGTCATCTGTAACTTCAGTGGCCCTGACATTAAGGTTGAAAGCTCTCTGATGAAAATCTATCTTTATTTTTCTGTTTTTTAATAATTATCATGTCAGATTTTAATATCATTGTCGTTATTACCATTGTTGTTGTTGCATGTTCTTGTGTGATGACAATGATTTCTGAATATACATAATTTTGATGTGCCTCTTTTCAATTCAAGAATGATAAAGGTGAAAGTGTATGTGCTCATAGCTGGTCAAAAAAGCAAGTTTGCCATGCCCATTGAATGCAATACTAACTAAACTATCATGCATTCTTTGTGTTAAGTGGTACATAGCTTTCATAGAATGAAGCCAAAATTGAATATGAACGGATGTTCCGCAAGAAACTGTATCACTTCCCGTGAGTCTGTGTGCGTGTATATGTTTGTTGTGCAGGAGATTTGAATTGTATATTTTAACTCCCTCAAGGTCCCCTTTAGGCAAATTCTTGTTCTATTCGGCCCCCATGATCCTGAAATTTTTTGAGTCCTTTCACCAGTAGTGCCTCCTCATGATAGGTTTCCCATTACTATTTATTTGTTCTTTGGATGCCCTACCTGAAACTCTCTAATGCAATTATTCGTTTAGTTCATGCTTCTCTTCTCGAAACCAAGCCTACCTCAAATTTTTGGAGAAGTAGGTCATGAGCATTCACTCTCCTCCTAGTGAAAATACTTGAACAAAACCTTATAACTTAATGAAGTATCTACTAAATCATCCCACTGTGTGCCAATAAGAGTTGCATATGATTTTCTTTATGTACCCTGTTCATGGGTGATTACTGTAGCAACTCATCTGAGTAATGTGTATCTCAGGCATGACTTGCTCAAATTGCAAAGTACTTGGGTGAGTTGCTTCAGTACTTGTCTGAGTACTGTTTTGGGTGTGTACTGTCTATTGGTGCAAGGCGCAGAAATTTGCTATTCTTTTTCTTTATTACTTTCATTTGTGGGCTTAGGGTTGTCTATCTAAGTGAAAATTTTTTGCTTCATTAGATTTTAGCCCCATCTAGTTGTTAGAAAAAATGGATGAGGAAAAACACTGGATTTGAGAGACTTTGAGATCGAAAAATCGGCCAAGATTTTGGCTGGTTTTGAAAAATCATGAATTTCTTCGCAAATGGTGGTCGGTTTTTTATGGAAATTAATCCCTAAAGCCTATCTTTTTGTTCTTGATCTAAGCATAGGCTTGATTTCCTCAATAGAGCACAAGACCGAAATTTCAGATTTACTATTTATCATAATTTTTAAGAGCTCAAATCTCCTAGAACTGAACTCAAAGCAAATTGGTTTTGGAGGTTTTTATTTCGGTTGCCTGAAGAAGCTTTGATAAGGATTGGAGGCAATGATTTCCATTGAGGCCGAAGGTTTGGGGATTGGCCCCCAAATTTTGGCTATATTTCATCTTTTAGTTTGAATTCATAATCTGATTTTTTTTATTAAATAAAATATAATTGATTTACAATTCATTTTCATTATACCTTAATTCTTCGATGTTTTTTACAGTTTTATATTTTTCTGAAGTTTTCCAATTTTCAGATATTTCTTTTTTAAGCTAATAACATTAATTTATTGCTATTCATTGTTTTGTATTTTTATTGATTTTGTATATTTTTGGGAATTTTATTTTTTCTGAAATTTGATCTTTTCTTTATTACAACATTTACTCATGTTTTTGATATTTCTAGGGTTTTATTTTTAATACCTTGGCCTTGACTTGTGCAAGTCATAGTCGTTTCCGAGTAGCTTGGCTTGGGTAGGTGCCTAGATTGTAGCCCGAGTTAGTATTTTAGCGCACTCACTTCAACTAATCACTCCTCCTAGATTAATATAAAGCACTACCGCCATTTATACCTAAATAATGTTCTGATAAGGATTCTTCAGGAGGCTGTATCCCAGTGCCAATTTGATGCAGACTGTCGATTGCATGGTATGTTTTTTTCTCATTTATATACTATCAAGGCTAGTTTTTGTCTGTTGTGCATCCTCTTGCGTGCAAGTAGTCTTAGGAAACATTTGTATGCCCGTATTGCTATAAAGGCGGTTTATGAATCGTGCCTTATTTCCTTGTATGGGCTCTATGCCCCTAAGGGCTCAAGTTTCTTTACTTTGTTTGAAAAACTTAAACATTTGTATTACACATAAATCGAGGAGTGCGCATCGTTGTATTGTTTACCCAAAAAAGGACTTACGGTACCATGTGAACAGAAGAATCCAGTTGTGCTCTATCATCATACTTGGCGGCTTATTTACTTGGATACATCTTGGTACTGATGCAGATACTAACATACTGTGTGTGTTTAACATTCCAGAAAAATGTGTGCATATTTGTCATTTTACATTGGGAAATATATCAATATACTCTTAAGAGATGAACTGTTAATATTTTAGCCATTTGCAACTGTTCCAACTCATGATCATGTGCATTTCTAGGGGTATTTTGAAATTAAACCAAAAGATATGGGTAGAATCTTAAATAACACATCTTTAATGGGTATTAGATAAGTAGCACAGAATGTCGGGTATCTGTTTTGGTCTTGAAAAGGTATGGCGCATGATATGTTATTTAGCATTTGATGAAGAACAACTATTGTACTTTAAAGATTTAATCCTGGATGATAGCTTTTAAGAAAATCAAATATGATCTTTAGACCATATGGTCGACCGGTTTTCTGATGAGTCATATGGTTTCCTACTACGAAAGGAGTTGAATATCTCAGAAAATTGTCATAGAAACTTACTGTCATGTGGGGCGATATTTTTTTTTTGCTCTATGGCATATGTGGAGCATGGCTGGACAGGTTTCCTCTGTGAATTTCTGCATTTTGCATAAATTTTGATGAATATGCTTGAGCTTTTTATTAGAAATCAACATACATGATAGTGTTTCTTACTCTTTAAATTGTCTGGAAATGTTTGGGTTAGTCTTTTGATTTGTAGAAATGAAAAGAATGTGTTGGGAAGATTTCTGAATTGTGCAGTTGTTCATTTCAGGGAAGAAAATCTGCTAATGTGCAAGGGACATTATCGGCTGTGACAGCATGAGAAGAGAGCCAAGTACATACTGTATAACAGATACTAATTGAAGGCCTGCGCGCTGCACGTTTATATTGTTATTATAATTTCAAGATAGAAAAAGGGCAGGAAGAAAAATATTTTTTAAAAACAAAATTTCTAAAATCTAGGGATTACGGATTAGGTCGTCGAAGTTAGCAATCCTTAAAATATGAGAGGATCTCTCTTTTGTCTGTGCATACAAGCAAAACACTTACTTTTGGTTTGAATAAAGATATAAGTATTTATCAAAGGTGGAGATTCCTTTTCTGATTAGATTGCCTACAATACATTTTCAATGAACTTTACCAATGAGGATTTTATTGTAGGATAAAACAGGGATTAAATTGTATTCTTTCCCAAAGTATTTTCCCCTAAACTCCAACTGTGGGGGTCCTCGCATCCCAACATCAAATAGGCGCAATTTGGAA